TGTTCATCATGGCTTGGATAATGAGTTGCAGAAAGCGCTGAAATGGCTCAAATTTCCTTGCTTTTGATGGAAATCTTTTGGCATTCACAAGTTCCAGAAGCTCATTATATATGACTAACGCGTAATCATAGTGTCTTGAAAACACTATACCATGAAAGAACTTAAGGAATGTTGAGCTGCACGTGTTAATGCCTTGTGTCTTCGACGTTAAGCATCGATTAAGGATTGAAAATAGAAGATGCCACACCGACGGTAAGAATCTTCGTCTGAACTGGGAAGGATTATTCAACGGTGCCGAATATCCCAATCTCTTGATATCAACACAGAGTTGATCATCTGATAGAAAATCTTCAAAGTTGTTCGGCCAGGAGCATGAAGATGTAGAATTCTACGTAAACGCTTGAATGTCAGTCGGCTGACATATTCATCAACATCTCCTTGTAAGTAAATAGCATCTCCATCTTATTCCATTGTAACTGTGCCCCAAAATTGTTGTAGGTAAACCATGGGAACAATTATATGTTCAGATAAAGCATAGGAAATTGGATGGCCTTTCAGTATTTGTGGGATAATGGGATATTCTGAAGGCATGTCAAAAGAAAAATGATGGTTGTTGGGTTTGATTTCAAGATATTATAGTTGAGAGTATAGGGTTTCAGAGTCAATGGGTTGGGCAGGTATGTTTTGAGGTAGGTTGTCAGATCTGACCGAGGGAATATGAGATTCCTCATCAGACTGATGTCCAATTTGAGCCATTATACCTGTAAAAATCTAAAGTATTAGTACCCATTGTCTTATTTGAAGAAAATAAAAAAAATCAAACAGACACAAACAATTAAAAAAAATCACACACACAAAAAATGAAAAGAAAAAAAATAAAGAAAAGAAATTTCCAACACTTAGGAAAATTTCAAAAACAAAATACACATTGACCGGATTAGTAGTCCGGTGAAGACTCTACAAAACAAAACCAAGACAAAGTGTCCAGATAAGAAGTCCGGACGACAAACAACAAAACAAAAAACAATAATGTTGTCCGGATTAGAAGTCCGGACGACAAACCAAATTCACTAAGACTAAACTGGACAATCATCAACCGGTTTAAGGTTGAACGGATTTGAAATCCGATCACCGTGTCCGGTGAGATTTCCGATCAAACACGAAATGATTAAAAMCACACAAAATACACATAACAAARTCAAAACAAAACAAAATACGTATCACAGACTCAATCGAAATACTAAAACGACCCAAAATACACTTTAATCAAAGTCTAAACTGAGTTAATATGAGATTAAGAATCAATTATGACGATATAACCATACTAGAACACGAACAGTGAATATGTGAATAACAAACGAATCAAATCAAAGAATGAAGCAATAAAGTATGGAAATCAAATCAAAAACCTGGATTATGAGTAGAAAATGAACACGAATAAGATTGAATCAAGTCCTTCAAAGCAAGGTTGAACGGAGTGCAGACGGATTTCAAGTGGAGACGATGATGAATAGTCAAGAGAGTAAAAAAGTAAAAAGAACAGTGAAACGGTTATTTATAGTCAAAGAGTCAAACCGTTCAAATGCGAAACCGCTCAAAACGTAACCGGTATAAGAATAAACCGTGCAAGAGGTGTCCGGTTTATGAAAAAAATAGAAACCAAGT